TAGTTGCATGGCACGAGCATTTTTGTTGTCGTGAAACAAATCGTGAATAACCTTCCAGAGAGCAGAAGCGGTGGAGACAGAGGAGATGACCAGATCGGAGACTTCGTCAGAGATGGTGGACAGAATCCATCCCTGGAGGAGAGCATCAAGTTGGAGCCATTCATCATCGTCTTCAGAGAGAGGGACGATGGAGCCGTTGATGTAGCCCTGGAGATTGAATCGGTGGACCAGGAGGAGAAAGAGGCGACTCCACTTCTTGTAGTTCGGTTGAGAGAGGCTGAGAAGAACCGGAACATGGAGTTTGACGTTGGAGACCGTCGTGAAAGCAAGATGAGGAGGCTTGGCCGGGGTGACGTTGGTGTTGGAGGTGATCTCGCTGTCGGCCATTGGGGAGAGGAGAGCCGGCGACGAGAGGAGGAGAGGAGGAGAGAAGCTACTGCCGGCGACGAGAGGGAGAGGCGGCGCTGCTGCCGCTGGAACTGCCGAGAGGGAGAGCCGAGAGGTAGGGTTAGGGTTTGTGATTTTGTTTTTTGTTTTTGTTTAATTAGGCTCCGATACCATGAAGAATAATGATTTTCATTGATTGAATATGATGTGGTTACATGTATATATATAAGAGGAATCTCAATCCTAAACATGGTAGGAGAGACACAAGGAAGGAAACCTATACAAATAAAGGTAAGGGAATAATACAATATATTAAATATATACAATATATTTAACACGGGGAATGGCCAAATGATGACGATAAGCACGCCTTGCACTGCCACAATACTTAACAACGGTATCGCCCCTTGCTTCAGCTTCATCAACGGCAGTGCCATTGCCAATAACGGTTCATTATCGTCAACTCGTCCACAAAAAGAGTGCTGCGATGCACTGAAGTCGATGGTGACCGAGGCGTTGGACTGTGCGTGCCTCATCGTCACCGGAAACGTCCCCTTTTCCATACCCTCCGTCCGCATTCCTCTCCAGCTATGTAATGCCGGTGTGCCACTTCAGTGCAAAGGTGGTGCTCTCTTAGTCCTAAATTAATTAATTCTTCGTGTAGTTCTCACTATATTTCTATATTTCCAACTAGACAATTTTACTTGTGTTAATTACTTCATTAAATCCATCATTTTGGTTTTCGTTTCAATGCCTGTATTTAATTATTATTTACTGTAGCATATGTGCATCCATTGCATGCTGCATTATGAGACAGATAGATAAGTACGAGTCATGTTAAATTTCCATGCATAATTCATGCACGCTACCTTTTTTGCAGGCTCTGGTGTCCCTTTACCAGCACCAGGTACAATTTCTAATCACTCCGTAATTTCTACTACTTGTATTGTACTCCCACCATCCGACAAACCTTTCTAGTTCTGACTTTTAAAGCATCTAAGTGGAGTATATTTTATTGTTAACTTTTCAAAAATGTCTTTAGATGTGATGAGTAAAAGTAGAATGTTGATTGGCAGTCCAAATAAATAGTGAAAAAGTGTGATGCGATAAGTAGATTAAAAATTAGCAGTAATAAAAGTGACTTTTTAATTGAATTGAGAAAGGTTTTTTGGGCGGGTAAGAAAAGAGAAAGGTTGTGGGATGGAGGGACTTCAAAGTAGAATATACTCACTCTCGCCTGCATGGGTAGCTCAACTGGCTCAAGGAAAAGATGTCAAGCCCATTGTTCCTAGGGTCAAATCCGTGTAGCGGCAGTGTGTGGGAGTTCTATTACTCCGTATTTATAATAGGTTCTTGAGGGCACTGGGAACTGATGGTGTAAATATAGATGGGTGGGTTGACCGGGTTCGACCTGGACACTTGACCCGTAATATAAAACACACAACAAGAACACAAAGTATGACCTAGACCGGGTAAATCTCCTCAGTCCGAAATATATTTCTTACTCTGTCTCAAGAGTGTACTAGTTTTTAGTGAGAGAAAGAATTGATCCCCTCCTCTATCCAATATCATCATATTTATAGAGGAGGATTTGTGACCTTCCCCTGTTCATCCATGGACAAAATAGGAAGCTCGTGGGAAGGTCACTGTAGATAATGGAAGCACTGTACAATCATGGACTTGCTACTAATACAACCAAAAAGCATTGTTCAATCAAAGACTAAAATGGATATTCTCAATCCAATCAACCCTGCAAAATGACAAACATCCCTTTCACTGTGTGCCTCGTGATGGATGAGCGGCGGGGTGTCCCCTTGGCCTCTGACGTGGTTCACCATGCCTATGAGACTGGACCAATGTTAGCCAAGTAAAGTGATATGACCGGTCACCTTCTCTGAAAGGTTACCCGGTCATTTCTTGTGCTCAACCCGTCTCTTTGGTCTTCTAGAATGTCCTTCGTAGAATAAGGTGATATTTTCGCTATCGCCCAAAATGTGACCGGTCACTTTTTTAGTGGAAGTGACCGGTCAACTTTTGACCTGTCCAAATCGAAGAGTTAACCTCATTTGGTGATTGATAAAAGTGACCGGTCATACTTTGACCTGTCCCTTTCGGTTGTCCGGGTTGGGTATAGGGATATACCCATCAAGAAGTCCTCCACTTACCGGCCTTGTGAGGAAGTCATCAAGGGCGGGAAGTATATTTATGTTGATCTATTACTTTTGAAATCATCAAGTCATTCTCATGACCTGTCCTTCTTTGAAATCATCAAGTCATTCCCATGACCTGTCCTTCTTTGAAATCATCAAGTCATTCCCATGACCTGTCCTTCTTTGAAATCATCAAGTCATTCCCATGACCTGTCCTTCTTTGAAATCATCAAGTCATTCCCATGACCTGTCCTTCTTTGAAATCATCAAGTCATTCCCATGACCTGTCCTTCT